ACAGCCCTTCAATGTTGTTTTATTGCAGCATTTCAGGAGGCACTGAACAATGAAGTGATTAACTGCTTCGGGTTCTGTGATGGGGGACATTAGATTTGTTGATCTATGTTCGGTAATTGCGAAAAGCATATGAAGTCTCATTCACTATAAGTAATGTTATGGCTGTTTTTAATCGTGCAGGGCTGTGATCACTAGACGGTTCACGGCTTTTAGATACACTGCGACCAGCAAGTGCTGCTTGTTGGGCACAAATTTTATTTGTTAAATCACTGGAGAAAGTCTACAAAGAGAAGAGATTGGAATTATGTATTGCTACACTGGGAATGGATGCGAAGATGTTGGAATGAGGTTATGCGAAGACCCAGAATGGGTGTGTTATGAGTCATGACACACCCATTCTGGGTCTTCTTATGAGTCATAACACACCCATTCTGGGTCTTCACAGTAGCCGAGGTCATAAGTTATGACCTCGGCTACTGTGTTAGAGCTAATGCCAAGGAAGGAGCGGGAACAGAGGAAAAAGAGAGAGCGGGAGAAGAGGGTTTCGTTGGGAAAAGAATTGATTGCTGCTAGGAGGCGGAGCAAAGCATTGTTGGAGGTGGAGAGGATGCGTGAATCTCAGCTCTCCCGTCGGGCAGAGCTGGCTGGGAGGAGCGTGCAGCAATTTTCTGCTGGTGTTGTAGAAATTAGCGACCTACGTGTGCACTTCTGCGCACTACTGTAAGGAAGATGCACTTGCCTGTTTTTTCTCTGCCTTTATAAGCAAGGCCCTCTCTCGGATAGCGAGAGAGGAAGAAGGAGAGACAGACAGAATAGTGTTCGACATCCCGCAGGTGGAGGGGCTCGATCACACGAGCCGCCATCATTGCGAGATATCAACCCCGGTCGAAGGGTTAACGAGCATAAAATTCTCTTTATTTTTCCTACCTCACCTGCGTATTTCTGTGAAATACCACAGGTGTGCGGGCGGTCATTGAGGGAGCGGAGGGCTGCGGCCAAGATGCGGGTGCTGAACGAGGGAGCTCAGCACTGACGTAGCATAGCTTTTTGTGAAAATTTGTTTCAATAAAACACCGTTTTTCCGGGCCAAATTTTTAATCGTCCGATCTTTCGTGTCTTTTACGACGACATACAGGTGGCTGAAGCGCCATCATCGTATGATCTGTATTTCAGTTTGTTTTCTACCAATAGGAATGTTACTACGTACTGTACAGTTTTCATGCTTCGTGAGCTGCTCTCAGCGAATCAAAAATGAGCGTCAACGGATAAGAGGAAGGTAGTTTTTTCGTGGTGGCTGGTGGCTTTTCTTTTTGTCCAACAATTCATGCACCCCCCCTTTACAGTGTTCTTCTGAATGCGACTGGGGATGCGACTGCCGGTGCCGGCAGAGTCGCATTCATGCTGCCGGCAGCACGTCATGATGCCGCCATGGTCGGCACCAAAGCAAAGTGGAAAGAGAAATACTTGGGTACATTGCTGCAACGGTGCTTGACAGACTGTATGACGTGAGGTGGCAAAAAAATCTCCCCCTCATCCTTTTATAAGATTGCTGGTCGCACGGAGCACGCACGGAGCAGCTAGAACTCGTACCCGAATTCCTAGCAAGAGCCTTCGTCGCATTCTTTGCCTACATTCCTGTATAGTAGTTCCAGTTTGGGCTTTAAGGGGGATCGCATCTCCCTCCCGTGCGTCGGGCTGAGAGGGGCAGCACGGCCATGCGCGCGAAGACGACCCCTCAGGGTACAGCAACAGTTTCTTTTCCTTTCGATACTGTGTTCTCTAAATAGGGGGACCAACGAGACAAAATCGCAGAAGCTCCTCGATTAAAGGAACGTCAAGGAAGCGTTGCCAGAGGCTGGCACCCTGCAGCAAGGAATTTGCTGACGTCGTGAGGTTGAATCTTGAGACCACTGCTAAGGACAGAAGCTCCCACAGTGTGCTGCTACAGAGCTAGGGAACGGGGACATGATTGTTGTATCCTTGTTACTCTCAGCCCTCGTACTGTATTGAGTACAGGTACTGTAGTATACATTTACTGGCTGTGATTGGTTTACGTTTACCTTCCGGGAATTATAGCACAGCTGTCACTTCCCCTTTTAAGGCAAGATGACGATGACCTCTTGGACTCCAATAGCCGAAAACTGTTCACATCAAACATTGGACGCCTCCTGAAACCCCAAATCAATCGTTGTTCAAAGGCAATTGGGCTGTCATTTTGTCCCCAGATCGCCACCTATTCTAGTTCTCTTTGCACGAGAATACTTTGCCAAGGCATGTTTATAGACCACATGTATATATAAAGTGCCTTGGCAACAACAGCCCGTTCGGTCTTAGATCTTTACACCTCACCTCTTTCCATCGACATCTGTTCCTTGATCGTTACATGCTATTCCTGCTGGAAAGCCTTTTGAGCTTCAAGGCCGCACCATGGCACCATCTCGATTCAGAAATTTTGAATTCTTGTCTTTGAGTGTCTTTATTATCCTTCAGCAAGCAATCACTGTCAAGTGCCAACACCTCCTTGAAGTCAAAGGGGAAACCCAGTACAACTACTTGAGACATTCTGTCGCTGTGAGCAACGACGGTGAAACCTATGGAAAGCACGGTTCGACTCTCTTGGGACGCCACGTAGTTTCCTCTAATAGAATATGGTCTTCAGTGGATGATATCACAAAGTCTATATTCGCAAAACCAGATACTCTCGATTGGTATTGTGCCGATGTGGGAACAGATGGGGACCCTCGGGCGGTCACATTAAACGCCGGGTTTTCATGTCTTGATCTTGGCTCGTCCAGCTCAGCACCAATTTCGTGGTGGGTAGCTTCAAACCTATCAAGAAAGACATTAGTGGAGCCCGGAGTAAATGGCATGAACAGAGACTCTGCGGGAATGCATGGGTCTTTCAACGACATAGTGTTCCAGTGTTTGGCGGAGAGGAAGTATGAGCCCGGCCGTCGCCTGGTCGAGCATTTGGACCAGCACCGGGGGACCGGAACTCGAATGGTTAAACCGACTGGGAAGAATGACAAGCCTTTGTCTCTTGTGGGGGATGACTTAGCATTTGAACGGTTGCGCGTTATTCGCATGCAGCATGACCCAAGTGATGAAGTAGTTTACGATTCAGAATCAGGGGTTGGAATGGTTTATGGGTTGCCGTTTGATTCCGGTTTTCGTATACATGCTCCGGAAGACATGACTACCGAACAGATGAGGGACTTCAGAGTGCCGATGACACCATTGGGCGGAATAACAACGCACATTGGAGCGCGGTTGCGAGAAAGTCGAGTGGCACGGGGGGAATCGAGAACGTCGACTGCTCTTCTTCTGCTGACTGTGTGGGCAAGCGGGTTGGCTTTTCTTTTGGCCATATGGATCATGGCCAAAACAGTAACAGACACCCTGGTTGCACGCTCAGAGAGACTGCGAAGTGCAGACGTTCATACTGCGGTTCTTGGTTCTGAAGGTTGGACCACGGGCGAGAAAGTGACGATAGTCACAAACTTCGCAGCTGTGACTATATTGCTGACTCCTTTCGGTCAGGCCATTGCCGAAGGCAACATCGACCCCCGAGCAGCAATTGAAGTACACTACGGTGCCAACGTATACTACACGGACTCAGGAATATTATCTCAAGACGAAAAAAACCCAATCGCGGGGGCGATCTTTTTCGTCTCTACGTGGGTTACTGTCCGCCCTCTAGACGACGGGTACGCGAGGGCATTGGCGCTTTCTCTGAGTGTTATCATGCTGTTTGCATTTGCCATCCTCGTACGCGTCACAAAAAAAACCAGCGAAACGATGCGCAGCAGCCGTCAACTGTTCCCCTGTTTCTCCCTATGGAAGTTCACGGGCTACATGCGGATGTACCTAAAAGGCAAAGCCGGGCGCAATATGGCCAAATACAAGGTGTTTGTGCGGCTACGGGCGGACGCGTATCCCCTCGAGGGTGGAGAATACCTCGAGCACAGGGTGAAGGAAATCGCGCTTCTCTGCGACGAGACGTGGCGTCGGCGGGCCAACACAGTGTACAAGAAGCGCAAGCTGCGCGAGCTCCACAGGGCGACTCTCAAGGCGGCGCGGGGCGCGGCGCACCAGGGGCTGGCGGACGTCGGCGGGGCGGGGTGCGTCGGGTTGTACGCACGGGTGCAGCTGGACGACCGGCGGCGATTCGCGGCGGCGACGGGCGGGACGGGCCCGTTTCAGAACGCGATGAACCGCAACTGGGAGTACGTGCGGCGTGGGGCCGGGTGCGAGAGCATCGAGTGGTACCGGACGAACGGGCAGTTCCCGCCGGATGCGACGCTGGTGGTGATGCAGCTGGGGCTTCTGCCGTATGCCAAGTACATTTCGAGCGTGAGCGTGGCGGACGACACGGGCGGGTGCGAGTACGACGAAGACGACGTGGAATGCCTGGTGGCCGTGGGGGCCGCCAAGGAAGAGGAGATGTGGCGCACGGCGTGGCGCGACGCGGATGATGGAGTGCCACGGTTTGTAGTGGCGAGTGGGGAGGCGGGGTTGGGTAGGGTTTTCCGCGAGAGAGTGCAGGGCGAGGAGATGGAGGTGCAATGGAGCGGCGGGTCGGGGGGGACGGACCATGTGCTGTACCCTGAGTCGTCGATGAGGGTGAGGTACTTTGTGGCGCGGGGCGCGGACTTGGTGGAGGAGGGAAGCCAATGACGGGGTGGGGGTTGTAACGCGCGGGACATGGCCGGCGTCAAGTGGCGGGGGTGGAGAAGACGCGGAAGTGCCATGAGCATGTGAGGGGCGGTATCTTGGCGGTATCTTGGCGGGAAGCACTTGGCGACTGATACAGTCAGAATATCTGCGCCGGTTATTACTGTCCACTCCACGCCCGGCAGATACGCGCAAACCAGTGGCGCGCATCCGCCAGCGCATCCTCCCCCCACCCTGTTGTACTCGTACACGTCTCCGGCTCTGCGTGGAGAGTGACGGGAATCTCCCCCCACTCTTCCACTCCTTCAACAACCGGTGTGCATATCATGAAACCCCCTCCCTCCCCTCTTGACTCCGCCCGTGCCCCAGCTCTCCCCGCCGACCCGCACTCCTGCCTTCCCCTTCCGCCGGCCACCATGCTAGCGGCTCCCCCCTTCGAGGTGTCCTCCGCCAAGGACCCCATGCCCTTCCGCCTGGGCGCGCAACCGCCCTGGTCCTCCACGCTCCGCTCGCCCGCCTCCGGCGTGGGCACGGCCATCCGCTCTCTCCGCAAGGCGCGCCGCACCGTGCTGCACGCCGCGCGCGCCAGGCGATGGCACTTTGACGCGGAAAAGTGGCGTCTCATGCTGTCGCACTGGCAGACCGACCTGCAGACGACGCAGCGTCAAGTCGGCGCGGAGGTGGACGAGTTCATCCAGTCCCCGCACCTACTCTTCGCCCCCATCCGCATGGCCGTCACGCTGGCCGTCCCGCTGCTCATCCCGCTCTGCTTCATGCCCACGTTCCTACTCGCCATGTTTGTCGTCTTCACCGTGCTGTGGTACACCAGCTGCCTCCTCCTGTTCGCCACGGAGGTGGCCATGCGGCCGCCGTGGTACAAGCGCGGGCTGCCGTCGAAGGACCTGCCGCCGTACTGGAAGGGCTTTGTGCACGACCCGCTGGTCGACCTGGGCTTCGAGTTCGACGACGTGGAGTTCCCGTCCGGCAGCGGCGGGCTGCTCCGCGGGTGGGTCGTGCGCGCGCGTAAGCGATCGGGCAAGTTTGCGCTGTTCGTGCACGGGGTCGGGCGCGACCGGCGCACGTTTCTGCGGCACGCGGGGGACTTTCTCGGCGCGGGCTACTCGTGCCTGCTGTTCGACCTGTCCGAGCACGGGCTGAGCGACGGGGCCAGCAAGGAGTTTGCGCGGGGGACGCTGTTTGGAGCGCGCGAGCAGTACGACGTGGTGGCGGCGGCCGAGTTTCTCAAGTTCAAGGAAGGGGCCGAGCGGATTGTGTTTGTGGGGACGTCTTGCGGGGCGTCCAGCTCGATCATGGCGGCGGCCGCGCGGCCGGATTTGGTGGATTGCGTGGTGGGCGAGAACCCGTTTACGCGGGCGGACGAGCTGCTGCGGCACCACCTGGACTCGCTGTCGAAGAACTACCTGTCGCAGAACAGCCACCAAACGGTGCGGGGGGTGGTGTTCTGGCTGGCGGGGCGGCTGCTGATGGTGCGGATGGGGTACTACATCCGGAGCTACGGGGCGATCGACGTGGTGGGCAAGCTCGAGTGCCCGCTGCTGATCGCGCATTCCACGGAGGATGACGTGGTGCCGTACGAGCACGGGGTGCGGATCTACGAGGCGGCCATGGGGGCCAAGGAGGGCAACAAGGACATGGCGTTTTTTTTCAAGTGCAGCGAGGCCGCGCACTGCGCGCTGTACGACAAGGACCCGGAGATGTGGACGGGGATGGTGCTCCCGTTTGTGCAGCGGGCGTTGGAGCGGAGGGAGAAGGGGGAGAAGGGGGAGAAGGGGGAGAAGGGCGTAGCGGCAGGTACGGAATGATGACGGGAATGATGACGGGAATGATGACGGGGAATGATGGGAGGGGGTACAGTAGATGATTTTGATGTACAGTACCGTGGGTACCTTCGGAACCCGCCTTCGGAAGGTAATGTTACCCTTCGAAGGGTAGCGGCACGTTTTCCAAACACTGGCACAACCGTTGGCCCGCAGCCGCCTGTGTACAGTACCCAAGGGTACCCTTGGGTACTTTAGTCGTAAAAATTTTCCCTCCCTATGGCTGTCCCTCCCTGTGCTCGTACTGCTCACGTCGCGGTGCTCGTACTCCCGCGCTTATTTCGCGCCAAATTCGAACTTTTGAACATCATTTTCAAAACACCTTCCCCTCACGGATCACCTGCCACGTCCTTCTTGCACCGCAACTCCCTCCTCATCCCTCCTCATCCCTCCTCATCCCTCCTCTCGTCCCTCCTCATCCTCACACCATGAAGGTCCCCCTCCCCCTCCCCGCGCCACCCGTCCCCCCCATGCACCTGCAGCTCCCGGACTTTGACGAACTCCCCGCCTCGCAGCCGCTGTGCACGCCGGTCGACCAGCCGATCCACGCCTCGGACAACATGCCGCAAACGCCCGGCCGAACCACCATCAAGCGTCGCCGCACGCGCGGCCCCTTCTTCCCGACCTCGAACCCGGCCCCCTTCCCGCTGGCCCCCAACCTGGCCCTCGCCTCGCGCGCGAGGCCCGCGCCCCCGCCCCCGCCCCCGCCCCTAAATCCCCTCCTAAATCCCCTAATCCCCACCCCGACCTTCTCCGACGACTTCCCCCCGCTCGCCATCGCCCCGGCCTCGCAGCGCACCGACCTCCCGGACATGTCCCAGGACACCCTCGCCCTCTTCTCCAAGCTCGTCCAGGAGCACCAGCACGGCCACACCCCGCACGGCCACACCCCGCGCCCGCCGGACCCGGACTACTCGCCGCTGTTCAAGCCCGCCTCTGCTAGCGTCATCCCCACAGACTACCCGCACTCGATCCGCCGCACAGACTCCACCCGCACTAGTCTGGCCAGGGCCAGCCTCATTTCTACCCTCTCCGGCGCTCGATCGATGGACAACCCCTTCCTCAACCCCACCACGCCCCCGAAAACTCCCGCGGAGATCCGCACCCCGCACACCGCCGGCCAGTTTCCGATCATCAAGAAAATTGCAAACGCCTCGGAGAGCTTTCAGAATTTGGCCCCCGTGCTCGACTTTGACGAAACCTTTTTGCTACCCCCCGACTTGAAGAACAGCCTGGGCACTCGCAAACCCGAGCCCGTCGACTCTATCTTTGCCACCCACGACAAACACAAGGAAAAACATGAGATCCTCAAAGTTTTGCTCGTCGCCAGCACGCAGGGCAGAAAATTCTCCTTGGACTTTGAGCAGGTACGCGTCGCGGGGAAAGGTGCCTTTTCAGAAGTTCTACAAGCGCGCCATCGTCTGGATGGGTGCACATATGCGATCAAGAGAAATATCACCCCGCTCATGAGTGACAAGTCCAGATTGGATTCGCTCCAAGAGGTTTTCGCCTTGTCTGCTCTGCAGGGCCATCCTAACATTCTGCGATACCACGACGCCTGGTTTGAGGAAAAGGGCCGCTACTTGCACATGCAGACCGAGTTCTTGTCCGAGGGGACCTTGTATGCTCTGTTCATCGAGCGCGGCAAGCGCATGCCCTCCGAGGAGCTCCTTGCTCTAGCCGCTGATCTCAGCTCAGCATTGGCCTTTATGCATAGTAAGGGCGTCGTGCATCTTGACGTCAAACCAGACAACATTTTCCGCAGCAATCGACGTCGAACGCAAAACTCTTTCATCATTGGCGATTTTGGTCTCGCTTGCCATATGGATGGGACTGATGCTCGAAGCACGGAAGGGGACTCGCGATACCTCTGCCCCGAAGCCATGGACGGGAGCCCCAAGCAAATCCCTGACACCGAGGAAGACCTCAGTGACTGCGCAAGCGATGACGAAGACCTCATCGGAGACACTCTGAAACCTGCTGCTCCCCAGGATCTACGCGCTAGGGATGTTTTTTCGCTCGGGGCCACCATTTACGAGCTTGCTGTCGGTTTACCTTTGAAAAAGTCAGGGGAGGAATGGCGACAGCTGCGGAGCGATACAGCGCGTGCCGCGAAAGAGGCTGGCGCCGCATGTGGGTCTTCAGAGATTGCAAACATCGTCCAGGTTTGTCTCGAAGCAAACCCATCCCGACGGGCGCTTGCTTGTGACGTGGTGGATATCTGTGAGGCGAACTCCTCTCGAGAACAGTCGCGCTATATCAACCAATTGCACATGCAGCTGGATCAATTGAAGAGGCAACTCTCTCGGCATCAAAAGGTGACCAATAATTTGTTGAAGAATGGGGAAAGAAACAGAAAGCGATACCGCGAACAGTGTGCAAACGGGAAAAAGCGCTTCCCTCCATGCGCAGTCTGACCGTCCCGTCCTAACTCGCCCGCAGATAGGTCGCCCGAAGTTAGTTTTAGAATGTAACCTTAGATTGCAGCCCCCGCACGTCTATTTTATCCACGATGACGGCGAGGGAGCAAGGTTAACCGCAATCGCCTTCTCGAGGCAAGCCCTTAGTGCAGTGGACTCGAGTAGTTTACCAATGAAAATGAAATGAGAAACACCATCCGCTGCATCAACGCTGGACACAGAGCTTTCGAATAGAGTATGAACAGACTGATATATCCATTTGCGTTGCTCTCCCTCAACCTCGACCAAAGCTTTCATCCTCCAAATTTCCATAGGCGGCTCCGCAATCGCATGAGACGGCTCGCTCTCCCCGTTCTCCCACAAGAGCTCTCCAAATGCGCGATCTAACAGGGTCGAGTCGAACGCGACTTTTTCAAACGAAACGGTAAGCGTCCCGACGGCCATTTTCTCGCCGTGCACGTGCTGCGAAAACTTTTCCGGGGCCGGTGCGGAGAAGGACCGGGCCGATGTGTCGTAGTCATAGGCTCGCACGCCGAGCAACTTTGATATATCAAAGATACACCTTTTTGTGGGATTAATGGAAGCAGAACAACCCGCTTCTCGAAGCGAGCGCTCGACTGCGGATACTCTTTTCGCCATCCTCTCCTCCTCAGACGCTGCAGGGTCAGAATTTTGCGGGTCCGTACCCAGAAGATCGATTTTGTTGAGCAAAACTTGATCAGCTACAACGAGCTGCTTTTGCGTAATCCTCGCCTTCTCACTCATCCCGTCGCCATCCCTTAAATAACTCTGTATGTTGACTGCATCCGCAATTGCAACAACAGAGTCAAGAATTAAGCCAGTCTCCAACTCATCGTCGACCCAAAACGAAGCTGCTACCGGTCCAGGATCAGCGAGACCCGAGGCTTCGACGAGGATGTGATCAACTTGTCCTGGGCGACTGCGAATTAGACGTGAAAGGGCGTCTGTGAGGTCATCTTGGGCGGCGCAACAGATGCATCCGTTGGGCAGTTGGATAAACTGTTCAAAAGCGTCAGGACCTACTCCTTGAGTGACGATAGCCTCTTCAACGGTCCCCTTCGCGCTGAACTCGTTCTCTACGACGACGAGACGAAGGCCGTGCTGCTCGGTGAGGATGCGGCGGATTAAGGTGCTCTTGCCAGAGCCAAGGAAGCCGGTGATTATTGTCACGCCGATGGCTTTATTTTCGGTAGTTGAAGGGCACGGTTCTGCCCCATTGGAGTCCATGAATGACTGGGGAGACTGGCAGGGCAGGCAGAACAATAGCTGTTGGCTTGAACATGTGAAATGAAATGGATGTTGATGATGCAAAGGCTCTTGTGCAAGTAAAAAGGGTCTAGTGGCGAGAGAGGTCCACGATCGAAACGTGTACAGGTTTCGCCTTTTTCATGAAGTTAATGGCATTACTAAAGAAGTGGATATTGCAAATATCAATTACAATTACATCAGCGATAGAAATCGAAAGTTCACGAAAATTAACTGTTTTTTGTGAGACCCAAAAAGCACCGACCGCGTGCCGCCGTCCAAGTTCTTAAATAAGCCACGCTCCCCGGCCTTGCCTTCCGACCCTTCGTAACCCACCGCACACTCTCGACTCGCTCCCAACCGTATTGTTTTCTTTTTGTTCCACCGTCGTACTCACCACTATGCCGAAGAATAAGGGAAAGGGAGGAAAGAACAGAAGGAGGGGGAAGAATGATAACGATGATGACAAGAGAGAACTCATTTTCAAAGAGGACGGTCAAGGTAAGTGCCTCCAACTCTGCCCTCTTTTCTTTCCGCTTGTTGCGATGATTGTCTACACATCCCATTTGATGGCCTGAGCTACGCTTAATCTTCGGAATTTGCGCTGCACTGTTGACGGGATTTTCTCGAGAATAGGTATTCCTCGTTAATGAGCAACTTCAGTTACTTTACCCTTTACCACTCTTTCCTATTCAAGAACTAACTGTTCCTTTACCCTTTGTGCCTTGTGATCATCATTCACGTACATCAGAATACGCTCAGGTGAACCGCATGCTTGGCAACGGCCGTTGCGAGAGCAAGTGCTTTGACGGCACCACTCGCCTCTGCCACATTCGCGGAAAGCTTCGCAAGAAAGTATGGGTCAACGCCCAGGACATTGTTCTCGTGGGCCTTCGTGATTACCAGGACGACAAGGCTGACATCATCCTCAAGTACTCGCCGGACGAGGCCAGAAATCTTATGAAGTATGGCGAGATTCCGGACACCACCACTATCAACGAAAACGCCGCCGAGGGCGAGGATGGCGAGGAGGGTGACGACGTCGTTTTCGACTTTGAGGCCATCGATGAGATTTAGGCCAGTGCTGCTTGTTTCAAGCTTTCGCTCACCTCCACGGGTAGCTTGTTAATGGTTCACATTCTGGTTGCATATTGACACTGCTACCGTGCATGGAGAGCCTGCGTGATACTCGCCGAGCGGGCGATGCGAGCCCTCACCGGGACCCATTGACTTTCTTTCTCGCTTTCGAGACTTCATCACAACTTGGTCAACGCACATTGCATGTCCAAGGCAGTCGGTCCTGGATGTCCTCTGGGATGCACCTGCCTTGGTGGCTGGTTTCTTTCTCCGACGGCTGACGCCATTTCATCGTTTAGCTTGTTTTTTTTGTATTACATGTAATGTGCGGTCTCGCTGGCTGCCAGGCGAGTCGTCGTTTGTAAGTAGTATCTCCTTTGTGTCCAATTAAATAGATTGCAGATTCCCTTTCTTCCATTATCCATCGCTATATCTTTTCTATAGAACCTGCTTCGTTCTGGGTGAGACTGCGTTCCAATCCGCTCGCAATCCTACTCGCAAACTGTGGTGTCCACGACAATCATGTCACAATTTGTCTCGACGCAGGACTAGAGTGAGCCGATCGTATGGGTCTCTACTTGCGGTTTCACGTCTGCTGCGGCTCTGTCTGACCCGCGTCGACTGCATGGAAGCCAAAGAGCAGAGAGCCGAGTCATTTGGGGTTCTTTGCTGATGCGCTTCTGTTTTTGTTCAGTTTCATTCGTTCTCAGACATAATGGGGTCGTCACGATTCTGCAAGCTTATGGCGGACGATTTTGGTAGTAGTTGACTGCGTTCTGCTGCTTTTTTTAAACGTTCACCACATCAGATAAATATGATTTTCTCCGCTGCATCTCTATTTCCAAGACGATTTTGGGAATATTGCAAGATACAAGCCTTGGCTCGCTTTCTTCGAAACTCTCAGCCGGCAAGTCACATTGGCCGCAGAGGTATAATACTTGAGTGTTCACGTCTCTTTGCCTGCATATACGGAAATATCTGTGCTCAATTAATGCTGTTGCGGACAGCGAACTTCTCAACAGCAGTGATGCTGCGGCGAGTCGACTCTTGGCTTTCTGTCGCGGAGCTCAAACTCTCGGATTATGGAGGCGACCGCCTCCGATGGAGGTGGGATGATTGGAACCCCGCTGGAGCTGAAGCCAGTAGGTTCAGGCAGGGGGCATCGCTCAGTGAGACCGTCGGCTGCCGACAAGATTGCACCCACGTTGGCCATGTTTGAGAGATTTCACGAGAGGGAAATGCACCAACGAGAGCGTCAACTCTTGGCCGAAGCAGCCAAAGGAGAAGTCACGCCTAGCAATCTTTATGAAGAAGGCTCGCTGTTTAAGAAGCAGTTTGTCACCGCCGTCGATATAATGGACGACGAAGACCGAGCCCAGGCGTACCTGCGCGCACGTACGAGGGGCAGGAGATCAATGCAAGTGTCTGGTGGCACTGAGAGTGAATTGATGCCCAGACCTTTCGGTGTTGCTTGTACATTGACTCCTGACGTTGTCCCGAAAGCACAAGTTACATCTGTTGGCAGCGACATTCTTAGAGAATGTAAGAAGATATCTGGCAGGAGAACGAGACATTCAAGGTTTCAAGCTCAAACTGTAGGACCGATCTATCAATCCCTGAGCTCAAGCCTAATAAGCTCTGCTGTCCGGAATCCCAAGGATGTGAGAGGCATTGGATGGAGTGGTAGTGATAGAAATGCTGTGAACGAACAGGGGATAGCTGTCAGAAGAGGAAAAGATACAACTTTGGTTCAATCCGGGATCGCAGAGGAGCCTTACTTGGATGATATGGAAGATGATGGTCTCGCTAACACTGGTTATAAGGATCTTGATACCGCAAATGAGCGAATGAAACTTGCAATGTTAAAACGACGTCGAAGTATTGTCCGCAAAGAGAAAGCTAAGAAACAAAAAAACTTAGAAGCTGCAGGCCAAAAGGAGTCAGACAGAGTACTCTTTTCTCTATTTGAGAGAGGAGAAGTGCTTGAATTCTCGCGAGAGCAAGGAAATACGTCGCCTGAGTCAATACCACCCGATTTTGTCAAGAATCCCGTTCATAGTCGCCAAACAGACGAATGTGATGCACTCCAAAACATGCTCCCTAATTCCTTGTTGAAAGAGCATGAAAGCCTGATGCGGCAAAGAGAAAGAGAGCTCATTTTCGAGTCAAAGGCTGTCAATAGGTCGATGGCAATCGCAAAACGAAAGCGAGATGAGAAATTACTGGTGCTAAAGCAGCAATTTCTCGAAGATATGAGTTCCAAGTTTGTACCGGCGCGGGGTCGGCAAGAAGATGTCTACGATCATTGCTTTCGCCCTGCAGACCAGGACAGCGACGGAGGTAGAAACGTATCACTTCCCGCAGAAGATTACCTGACTGAAGTAGGAACGTCAAGACGAACAGAGCACCAATGGTACCCTTGCCCTCTCCTATTTAAGCTATATGGTATTGTCCCTACAAAAAACGAAAAACAGGGTCAAGCAAACGACCAGAACGACAAACGAATGCGGTCTTCGCTGACCACACGTCATGAAGTCGAGGATGATGATTTTCAAGTACATGCCATTATTGGAGCAGATGGGAAGAGAATCGACTTTCAGCACGCAGCCAGGGCATTTGTTGAAGACGACAGCGTTGCTTTGACTATTGCAGAGTCACAAAAAGGAATTGGAACCCTTCCAGTTAGCGCAACTCCAAGCGCTGAGCTCTACAATGCCATTTATAATAGGAAAGTTTCGCACGCCGATGCCACGAACGGAGACGCTGATGTACGTGTTTCTGCACAGGAGGGAAAGCAAACGCAACTGGCAGGTGGTAGAACGTCACGAAGAACCAAGGCTGCGGATTTCTTTTAATGGGCGTTTGCCTCGCGATCCAGGAACTTTTGCTGCCCTTATTTCAGAAGACATTAGTAAATGTTACCTCGGATGACTGCTCACTTTTGTCTTTTACATCCAAGCAGCGTGCTCAACTAAGAAATTTGACACAATTAGAGTTGCTGATCCTAGAAAACCTAGACAATAGAAAATGTGTCCGGTACAAGAGATACGTCGTGTCCAAACTCGACGGGTTCGCCCGACGAGACTAGGGCGACTTGAGAGACAACTATTGGGGCATACGTATATTTGCTAGAGAACGAGACATTGATCGGGAAGAAGGCGTTGGCATCAGTGGGGCCTGTAGAGAACTCAAGTGACCCTTGGGAGTTGCTCTCGTCAATCATTGCCAGACGCCATTCCACGCTTTGAGTTCGGGAGTTGTATACAAATTCGCCATCACACTGATTCACCGTTGGTTGGCTGCTGGTGCCGATAGGGATGGTGATAACGACATCCCTAAGTTCCTTGCTCGCTCCGAGCTCGTACTCAATATTTACGACTGATTCGTCACCATTGTCACTTGGCCAGCAGTTAATCAGTAGTGGAGCCTTGTCTTCTTCCTTTGTTACAAGCCTCCAGCGCAAAACGCCAAGGGGATTCCCTGTCGGGAAAGGCCGCTTCGGGTCCTTGAGACCAATGAGTCCCTGCGTCGAAAACAAAGTCCTATCCACATTTGGATGTGTACGGAATTGCACGCCGTTCGACTCGGCACCACCAGTGCTAACCTGCAAACGAATACCAGCCTTTGCAGAGTCAGTGACGCGGAGCATGAGATCTCCTTTGACTTCCATGTTCTGGATCCCGCCATCCCGCGACACGGTAAGGTTTAGTTTTTCGATAGTTGCGAGATGAATGGCTTGACTCGGTGGAACGTATGCAGCGGCAGCCGCCGCGTTGGCCTTTGCACCTTTCAGACGGGATACAGGAGCGTCAACGACTTCTCCTTCTGCACGCAACGAATCCAAAATGTTGTCTTGCTTCTTGCCCTTGCCAAGCGACATGCCTTTCTTCGCGGCTGTGCCAGCAACTGGGGGCGGCCCTGCATTGGAGCGGCCATACCCTGAGGAACTAGATATGACGTTGCGCATGTTCATACCCATGCCCATCTGGGAACCCATGCCCGACATGCCCATGCCACCACCACCGCCCATACCCATTGTCGACTGCTGCTGGGCGTAAGAATCTGATGAAATACCTCCAGCGGCAGCGTAAGCAGCGTTCGCAGCAGCCTTGTTTTGGAGACCTGTGAGACCGAGATCCTGGGCAAAACTTCCCATGCCTCCAGCCTGGAGCATTTTGCCAAGCTCATTGCCGAGCATGCCTAGTCTATCGCCGCCGTCGCTACGCTGGCGACGAATCTCCTCCTCACGTCGCTTCCGCTCCTCTTTAGCCTCTGCCATTTTACTCTCTTGGATCATCTTGACCAGGCGCTCCTCGTGCGAGTACATTTCGGTAAATGTAGCGATCTGTTGCAGATCGACATTCTCGCGAAGGCCACCCCAGTCGATGACCTCATCGAAGGAGTAAATGATTTCAAAGGCGGCTTCCATGACGGATTCCTCGTCGACGACACCATAACGCGGGGAGTACTCGGGAAGGATCTTTCCCAGTAGACGGAGGGTCTCAAGATCCTCTACGATGTTGGAGTTCTTGGTGGTGATAAGAAGTACGTAGAGCGTTTCGACTGGTTGATAGACGTAGCGCACGTTGTCGGTCTCGACATAAGTATGTTGGCGATCGGTGCCGATGAGCTTGGGAAAGGCGGCCAGGAGGCCTTCGATGCGGATGCGGCTGAGCTCGCGATACTGGCGGGAAAGCACTACTTTACCCGCCTTGGTGGTGACGGCGGCGCTGAGAACGACCATTTCGTCGGCGGATGGAGGTGTGGGCGAAGGACGTTGTTCGACACCAAGAGGGTCCAAGCGGAACGAAAGGGACGTTGAGTGCGACGGATGGGATGGGAGGAGAGGCGAGTTACTACTGTAGTGTCAGACTTGGAGAAGGATTTTGGGGGAGTCAGTGATACGTGTACACGAAAACACGTGTAAACGGTGTACGTACCGCTCGGGCAAAAGTAGTGCGACAGAGTTGACTGAGCAGAGGATGGTGGCGCGCTGACAGTGTCAGAAGTTGGGGCCAGTGGGGACTGGCCACGTGGTGGGCGCGCTGTAAAGCGATATTTTGTGAGATGCCTAAAGGACAGATATGGGAAGGTGTAAGAAAGGAGGTGTAAAGGGGGAGTCGGGCATGCGGCGCATTAGTGAGCGCGACCCGCGGGCACTGGAGCGAGTTCAGTTTTCGTCCCAATCTGCCGCAGCTGACTGTATCGCCCGGTCGGCTTATTACTCCCGCCGTCGCTCCCGTTTTGGACTCCTGCGCCCTCTCTGCCTCAGCCCCCCCTCCCGCGCGGTCGGCTTCCCCCACCCTACCACCCACAACCCCCCCTCCCCCTCCCCCTCCCCCTCCCCCCCCTTTC